AATTAAAATAAGTTTTAAATAAAAAGGTCTTAGCCTGGCGCCAAAAAACAAATAACAACGGCGCCAGGCGGACCTCTCTGGGGAGCGCGTTCCATAAATGGGGCACCACCGCAGAGAAAGCCCTCCTCCGGGTATTCACCCTCCTAATATCCTTCAAAGAGGGTTCCCGGAGAAGGGCATCTGTTGCTGATCTCAAGGGACAGGAGGGCATATATGGACGCAAGCGTTCCTTTAGATACCCAGGGCCCAAGCCGTAGAGGGCTTTATGTCCTGCAGAAGCTGCTTTTCCTGTATACAGTCACTCTGCATAACATGTGTGGCCTGCCTGATGTTGTTGGGGGTGTAACACCCACTGCCCCCACCATTGGCTATGCTAGCTGAGCGGGGCTGCAGTTCACCCTGCCTGGCCGTTCTCACATGCCCCGGGCCTGCCATGAAAATGTCCCATGCCCTGCACATATAGGGTAGATAATGTCCAAAGCATCCCTCTCAGAGTAGGTGCACTGGACTGTGGGGCGAGCGTCCCCATGCAACCTGCAGGAACCTCCAGTGCTGTCCACAAAGCTTCCCACTCCTCATGGGAAATACAGTGGCTGATCCTGGGATCAAGAAAAGGGGGAAACTCCTTTCTTTGGGGGTTCAGAGCATTTTCCTTTCCTTTTGGTGAAGAGAAGTGAGGTTTGCCTACGTAGCATGAACTGAGCAAGCCTGAGGAGGTCTAGGCAAAAGTCATACCCATTTGGTTCCATTTAAGTATGCCTAGGAGTACACACTTAAATGGGTATTTTGCTGTGCTTCCGTGGAGTAAAAAAAAATGTGATTTTAGACTCCTGCTCTTATTGCACACAGTTTCTTGGGCAAAAAGCTTGTCTGACCACCCTGGCCTCCATGGCAGCCTTAATTTATTAAATTTGTATCAAAGTCACCTATTAGCATCATGCTCTCTGGGCAGCCATTGCAATAAAAGTGTCAATAACATTAAATAAAACAATACAGTTGAAATATTATAATAAATAAACAAGATAAAATACAATATAATCAGACAAAAACATGAACCAATAAAATCAATGAATTAAAACTAGTGCCATCAATATAGATGGTCTAAGTAGTGCCATAGATGCACTGAAAAAGAAAAAAAAATGTCAAGCACATAAAACTCCGTGAAGTAGGCACCTGACTTCAGGTGTTCCACAAATGGGTGCCACCACAAGAACCCATTATATGACCAGGGAGGCACTTTCTGGTGTGGCCACAGCAATTTCTTGATTTCTCAAATGTTCCCATGAGCCCAAAAAAGTTGGGAAATCCTTCTGTAGAGTATTCTATTCGGCCCTCTGACTATAAGATTTTAAAGTTAACTATCTGATGTGTTCTTGTTATTCAGGTGTTCAGTTGTGTCCAACTATAAGCGATCCTATGGGCCAAATCTCGCCACACTTTCTGATCCTATGCCACCTCTAGAAGCAGAGGTGGCTAAATTAATTAAGTCAATTAGTTTGTTAGATGTGTAGGAATATACACACTGCAAAACTTCCATAAATATCCCTTAAAAAACAACATGTAGATCAGTTGCTCCATCCTGGCACTTCTGTTGAGCCTCTGTTTTTATTGAATTATTTTCTTGTTGCTGCTCTTTGGAATTTTATTGTATTTTATTGTGGTTTTAAATGATTGTTGTCATGAGCAGGAACCCCACCTTAGTTATCAGACTTTTAGCAGCCATATTATGGCAGTTTTTACTCATTTTTCCTGACATTGCGAGCCACCCTGAGTGGTGCAGAAACACCAGGTCAAGGTATAACTCACTCTGCAGATATCTCAATACATTGAGAATGTTGCAGAAAGGGGTCACATTCCTTTAAATGTCAGCAGTTGTCCTGCTAACAGTTTCCTGGACAGCTCTAATGCAAATGGGAAAGGGCAGAAGATGAGCAACACTGGAGGAACTATTCTGTGTGAAACAGTCACGGGCATGATATACAAGCATTACTCTTTGGAGGTCTGCTATCCAAACCAATTGTGTGCATTCCAATCTCTCATATCCACTAACAGCGTGTGGATGGATTTCCTCTCTCTGATGGGGTGTTCAATCTCTTTCAACCCAAGGCCAAATTCCATTTTGGAGAAGTGTGTGTGCGTGTGTGTGTGTGGGGGGGTCTGTATTCCAAAAATACCTCCAAATACTTGCATTTTTAAGGCTTAGTAACTAACTCTTTCACAGAGGTGTTTCATTCTTTTAGTATGGGGACAAAAGATGTGCAAAAACCATGAAGCCAGCCAGCAACTGCCAGCAGGTGGGTGAGAGACATATAAAAGATGTGGCCATATCAAGAGCTGGGGGGTGGGGTGGATTGGGCCCCGGGGCCTGAGGTTTTCTGCCCCTGCTCTATGCATCAGGAACTTAAATATGAGTTATGTTTAAGCTCAGTAGCTGTTACCTGCTCATAAAGAACACCTTCCTTCTATTTAGAACCAGGACATCTTCCTTCAGACTGGAATTCTATACTCATGTTCCTGGAAAAGATTCACTGAATTCAGTGGGGCCTGCTTCTGAGTAGATATGCACAATTGATTGCTGTGCTTGCTTTTCCCTGCAGCTGGAAATGGTGTTATTTGCCAAGGATAAACATACCTTCTCCTCTTGCTCTCTCAGTTGCACCACCAGGTCATGCCATGGTCCAGCTGCGCTCAGAATAAACCAAGCTATTTTCTGAGTTTGGGCAGGAATAGATTGGTACAAGTCTGAGCCTGGTTGAGACACTTTGGCCATCACTGCAACTTATCTGAGAAGTATTCTTTAGAGATGTAACACGGACTCATATGAATGACACAGGACTATGACCAAGTTCAACTTATTCAGGGGTAGTCCTATTTACTTTGCTTCTGCAGTGCCGTTAGATGACCCTTTTAAGCATGGTGCCATTCAAGGTTGCATTTCTAGTCACTGAAACAGCCTCCCCTGATCTGGTGCCCTCCAAATGCTTGGGGCAATAGCTCCCAGCATTTCTGACCTCTGGCCATACTGACTGGGACTGACGGAAGTTGAAGTTCAAAATATCTGAAGGGTATCAGGTCAGGGGAAGGCTAGGCTGAAGGGAGATTTAGGGCGAGTTAAGCAAAATAAGGTTGTGATTCTTGAACATTCTCTTACGTGCTGGCCAGATGGGGTCAAGTCTGGAGGATCTCCCGCTGGAAGAAGAAGCATCATCTATTGCCATGTTCCCCCTCCCCAAAACTGGTCTCCTCTTGTAAGGACATTATTTATACAGAAGCAGTGAGCACACAAATAAAGTCTGCTTAACAAATTAAAAGCCTAAAGGTACTAAATTTGGGGTGCATTTAAATAAGTTTTAACTCTGGATATTTTGCATTTAAAACTTTCATCTAGTAAAATTATTGAAGATTGCATTCTAAAAATACTCAAACTTCTAGAAAGTAAGAGAACAATCCTATGCATGTTTAGACAGATAAAAAATGGCATAACTCCCAATATTTCCCAGCCACCAAGGGTGATTGAGGCATTCTGGGAGCTAGAGGACTTTTACCGTCTAAATATTCCTAGGACTGCACAGTAAATAAATGTAAATAAAATACAAAACAACACATATGCATGCCAGCACAGACTATTTTGTTTGTTTTTTGTTTTGTTTTGGTATTACCATCAGTAGTATTCATTTTAAGAGCATAGTCTATCAATTGTCTTAGGAAATGTTTCTTTTCTGTTTGCTCACTTGCTGCAGGAACTGAGAAAAGTGATAAGCAGCCAGTGGCCTTTTCTAATCTCTGGCTGATAGAATTCACTCAGGTCAACAGGTTTCCCAGGCTAGAGGCTTAAAATTCAACAATTCTGGACACTTGTTGATTGAGCTTGAATAAATGGGAGTGAAAGCGGAGCCCTGCCAGCTGCCCTGTTCCACAACATGGAAGAGGGGCTGGTCCTCCTGATGCAATGATGCCCTTTTTCCTACACCACATGCTTCTCACCTACCTCCATAAACACACAGCAGTGGAGACTGGGAACATATGCATTCCATTTGACTCTGCAAAGCAGCAGGTAAGACAAATGCATCTGGACAGATCCCAGAACAATCCAGGGTGAGTTTTGCGATTGCTTTCATAGACAGCAAGGATGCTACTACAAGCCACAATCTGAGAAAACCTGGAGCTTGCATTTTTATGATCCAGTCAGTTCATTTCAACACACATTTTTTTCAGCTGTGCATACAGCATTTTGTGCCCTGAAAACTAACACAGAAAATTTAAGACTGGAAGAACAGCAATTAACATTCAACAACATCGATTCATGGATCAGGCTCTAAACAAAAAGAATTAACTGCATAATTGGCACACACAGTCAGAAATCCTTTTTCTAATTCTGTATTACAGATACTCTGTTATTGAACTTACTACAAATACTGTACACATGAGGGCAATATACTTGAGTTATTACACCCATGTGTTAAACTTTACACATGCTCAGAGAGCCTCTTGCTTTACTTATTAGGCCTCAGTTTCCACTTGGCTCACGTTGAGAGCTTCTTGCTTTGTTATGCCTTAAGTTCCACTCTGTCCATGCTCACAGAACCTCTTGCTTTAACTATCACGCCAACGTTCCAAGGATAACCCCTTTGCTCCCCAGGCTCAGTTGCGGTTAGAGTATAACCACGTGGTGCCTGGAAATGCAGCAGCGTTGTGGAGAAGGTGAAGCGTTGCTACGATCAACCCAGCAAAACTCCAAACAACCCACCCTTCTGTGCTATGCAGAAAGCGAAAGAAAGTCCGAGGGCTCGAGCTTCGGCAGCCCGCTTCCTATTGGAAAGGGGCCGCCCAATGGGGGTGTGCACCTTTCCCACGTGGGCTGCAAGGGAGCCAATCGGAAAGCCCCCGAGGTGTCCCGGTCCCCGGGTCCCTCAGCACCTTGGGCAGGTGGAGCGAACCTGTCAAAGGCATCGCCCCACCTGCGCCGAGCTGTGCGCGGCTCTCCGAGCGCCCCGGGAGCCATGAACGCCGAAGAGCAGTATTACGCTTCGAGCCAGCTCTACAAGGAGCCGTGCGCCTTTCAGAGATCGCAGCCCCAGGATTACAGCCCGAGCCCCCCAGCCTGCCTGTACATGGGCAGGCAGCCTCCACCCCAGCCTCCCGCGCAGCCGCCGCCGCCGCCGCCCCCGCAGCCCCCTTACGCGAACGTGCTGGGGAGCTTGGAGCAAGGCAGCCCTCCAGACATTTCCCCGTACGAGGTGCCCCCCATCACGGAAGATCCAGGCATGCCTCACCTCCACCACCACCACCCCCACCACCACCCCCCGCAGCTCCCTCACCCGCACCAGGAAGCGCTGCCCTTTGGAGACGGCACGGACGCCGGCGGCTTAGAGGAGCCGAGAGTCCAGCTGCCCTTCCCCTGGATGAAATCCACCAAATCCCACGCCTGGAAGGGACAATGGGCTGGCACGGGTAAGAGACCCCTTCCTCTCCCCTCGGACCCCTCTTGGCTCAGACTGAGGAAGAACGGACGGCGCTGCCTTTGACGTGGCAGCCTTTTCCCTCCCCGCCCCCCACAACCGGGTGCCCCTCCAGATGAGGTAGACTACCACTCCCTGCATCCTCAGCCAGCACGGTCATGGATGATGGAAGTTGTTCTCCAAAGCATCTGGCCTTGCTGCCTGACGGGGACATGGACGTTTGCTTGGAGGGGGGATGATAATGGAGAACAGGTCCAGCCCTTGAGCATCTCGATCCTAAACACATTCCCTGCACAGTCCTGTGCCTCTTTATGCAGAAGGGGCCCCACTGTGTCCCAGGGGGCTTACTCCAAAGGTAAGCGTCTCTTGGCAGATATCCTCCCTTGATTAAAAAAGGGCTACTGAGATGAGAGGAATGATATACCTGAATAAAGATTCAGAGATGCACGGCTTGAAGCGCATTTAGGATTCAGTCCAAAGGGAAACAATTCCCTTTTTGGGGTCTTAAAGGATCCAGTAGTCTTCTAAAAAGCAGCTGGACATACTTTGTGCAAAAAGTGCAGTGGAAACGCAAGTTGTGTGCAGTTGGGAATGGAAACTTTTGTTTTCCATTAGGAAAATTCTGAGAGGTGCCCAAGAACTGGAGATGTGGCTGCACTGGATTCTTGTGCAGTTAAAATCAGTGCTTAGAATAATCGATGTGGGACCTTAAAAAGAACAACTGCCATGCACTACCACCAAGCTGTTAGTCTTTAATGTTCCACAGGATTCTTTCAAATTGAATCCTAGACATGTCTGCTTAGAAGGAAGCCCTATTAATCCATAAGGCATGGATGGGGAGAATTTTTTGAGGGACAGTCTAGTAATGTAATAAATCAAATAAATCAGTGCACTGAGTTTACTGACATTTATTTCTAGGTAAATGTGTGCAGCGGATGGGAGGCCGGCTTGGTTGCTTTGCTGTGAGGGCTTAACATGGCTGTGCTTCTGGATCTTGAAACTGGCGGTGCACTTGTGGCCAGCGGTTTTCTTTGGGGAAGGGGGGCTCTGTGCATTGCTTCAGCACATGGTAAGCCAGCCCTGCTGCAAATGGGAGCTCCTGTGCATTGTGTGGCGTGGTGGCAGGGTGTGTGTAGGTTCCATTTCCACTGGAACCCTTGGCCTGACAGCACCATTGGTTGAGCCCCTTCCTGGTTGAAGTTCCGGCACTTCAATGACAACACCTAGTTTCTTGTAGGCATATGTGTCTTTGCATAGCACTTAGATTGCATATCCTGCTGCTATTACTACTCTTATTATTACGGAAATATATTTTGCATTTCCTTTGCAAAATCTCTTTCGCCTCTTCTGCTCTGTGGTAGAGCCAGTCTGTTTGAGCACATGAGGTTCTATTTTCAGATGTAATAGGAAGCGAGCAGAAATGAAAGAGCGCATTAATGGCGATCTTTGGCTTACTGGGGAACAAACTTCATTGGACTCAATGGGACTTTAAAGTAGACATTTAAATTAGTATTTAAAGTTAATTTTAAAGTAGGATTAAATGAAAGCTAAGCAAAACAAGCTATTTTCGAAGTAAGGCTCTTTGGATAGACAAAGGCATTCACTGTTTACCATTTTGCTAAAATAAATTGTTAATTTCTTTCAATATTTCCATCAGTGCCCATTGTAAAGATGGCAGCTCTGAATGAAAGGTTGGATCTAAATTCTAAACCCATGCCAGGGCTCCTACTCTTTTCATGCACCCATCAGTTTGGGGGCAGAACGTGATTATGCCCCACTGTGCCCACAGTGAATCTAGTCCCATTCACTTTGGTTAAAATGTAAAAGCGGCTTTTGCATCTAATGGAGAGGCACACTGGCCATGGAAATTTATGCCACAATCCATTGGTTAGTCCTAAAGTTAACAGTTTTACTCTCACAAACCATATGGCTAAAAGGTGGTTGAAGGTGGCAAAATACGCGGTTTTATTAAGGCATATGTGCACATCTGTTTCTCCAGTTTTACGTCATGCATATTTTTCCTTTGAAATTAATTTAGTGTTACTACGTGCCGCCAAGTTCTCTTATGGTGACCCCATAAATGAAAGGCCTCCAAAACTCCCTGCCCTCTGACAGCCCCACTCAGTTCTTCGAAGGTCAAGGCTGTGGCTTCCATCTATCTCATATTTGGTTGAAATCAATTGCACTAAAAGTATTCAGGCAATCATGTAGAACTATTTGAGGTTTATGTTTTTACCTTATTTCAACATAGGGACAGAAATCTGTGCCCTCACACACCATATTAACCCCTTTCTGGTGGAATCTGGGCCAACATACTTGAACTGAAATTGGTAAAATTAGTCTTTGCTTTATAAACAGTCCATGTGAAGAGGACAGAACGATTGTTTACCACCTGAATAATTAAAACTAAAATAATGTTAAATGATGAAAACCCAGTTACTTCCATTTAAGTGGGTGTGTGGATCATCAGAATTTTTTCTAATTTTAAAGGAAAGGGACTGTTTTCTCATTTACATCGCTCCATTACAACAGGATCTAAACTAATTCTCATCTCCTGCTCAATTAAGTTACCTGTAGTTAAGTCCATGCATGGGTAGTTAGGGTATCTGTAATTAAGTCATACCTGGTTAAGCTATCTGAACAAAAATGAAGACTGCCAAGAGAGCCTTAGTTTGCCCGAATAGCAACCACTTTCCAGCAGCAAAGGGTCTTCTCATACCTTCTCATAACCAAATGCCTTCTGCTGCAGGCTTTCGTAGACATTGCTTTCCTCTGGAAATTCTTTCCAGCAGGAATGCTGGTGGGAGCCTGGGAAAAGCAGGCCCACAAACCAGTCACTCTGTTGTTTGCTTCTGAATTTACACCACCTGGGAGCGGATTCAGTGCACCCAGCTCTGCGGCAGCAGAACTGGACTTGACGTGGCCCTGTGTGTGTTGGGTTTTTAAAATCCTGGCTGAAAGAAATTGCTTCCCTGAGCTGTATTATTCTCCGTGAAGCTATTGGGACTGAAATAGTTTTCAGTAAAGAGTGTTACCAATGGAATTATTGCATTAAATTAAGAAATATTAAAAGCAGTGGGACAAGCTTCCGAAAGAGTATAGGTTCTATCCAGTGTTGTTCTAACTTAAAACAGGGATATTGAAATGAATAGGACTTAAGTTGCCTTAACAATAGATTATAGCCTGGTACTAATCCACTGATTTTGCTGGGATTACTGTTCTAAACGTATTTACTAGCAAATAAGCCCCACTAAATACAGTGGGACTCACTTCCTAGGGAATATCAGCACTTCTCCATCTAAACCAACTTCAGGATCACAATTCTAGAGGCATCAGAGCCTGTTTACATTATTGAAGCCATGTTGCATTAAGAGACTCTCGAAGTCCACGCTCACAGGTAGGTCTCCCCAAAGGTGGGAAGCCTTTGCTGAAAGTCTGCTGCTCCCAGAACAAATTCAGCAACAATTTCGAACCAGCGAACCTGTGTCGTTAACTCCCTGAATTCAGAGGGGCTTATTTCCAAGACAGAAAAGTCTGCAGGATCCATCTTCAAAGTTCAGTGAGGAAGGAATCAAGGTTTACACTCAGGTTCTAAATGCATTTACCTGAAACAAAACTCCAGGTTTTTTCCCACAGACCTTTTGAAAAGCAAAATGTGGATCAAATACTTCTGCTTTAATGATGTTTGTGTTTTAGCATGGCATGTGAAAGAAAGTGCCACAGGGCATAACTTTTAAATGTGCATATTAGCGCATATCTAGAAAAGGAGTTGATCTGGCTGCAGAAAAATGCTTCTAGTGGTACCCTTTGCTGATGGGGAGCAAAACCCAAGTCTGCACCCTTTACCTGGCCTAAGGTATTCGGCTGCTTCTGAGATGGATGGAGCTGTGCATTCACTTCTAGAGCCATTGGTTGTTAATTTGGAGCACTAAGTAAGAGTTGCATAAGCACAGTATGCATCTGGATCCTGAATATGTTTATCTGGATAAGGACCAACTGCTCCCTATGGAAACCATAGGACTTAATCTTCCAAGTAGACCTGTCTGAACTTTCCACCTTACAAAAAGTCAGCTGGAGTTATTTATATTGATTACCTTAAGCCATTAAATTATATATACCCTAAAAACACATTTTAAAATAAGTTCTACTGAAATGAAAGCAATCTCTCTTCCCAAATTTAAACTGGATTAAGAACTATTCGAACTCCTGCAATCCTATTGCGCTCAGTGGGAAGAATCCTGAGTTAGATGGAATTTGCTTTTGAGTAAAGATACATAGGATATGGCAGCAAATTTGATTGTTGCAACTTTGAAAGGAGTAACCAAAAACAGGCTTGCGTGGCCTTATGAAAGTAAAGCAATTTAAACTGCGTGCCATGGTGGTCCCTAATATCCATGTCTTGTATCGTTGTGTCTTTATACTGGCCACAACACCAATCTCAGGTACTATGCAAATTCCAGAATAAGCCTCATTTAATTCAGTGGGATCTACCTTAAGTAATGGTATTTGTCTGGACTGTACATTTCTGAAAACATATTTGGTACCTCATAATAAGTAACTATCCAGCTGGCATAATATACGATGTGTCAGTTTCACATAGTAATTTACAGTCCTGCCTAGTGATACAGCCGAGCATGTATTAGCTTCATAGTGAGTTCCACTCCTACTGGCACCTAGTATGAATTCTTCTCCAGAGGGAACAGAAATTTGATTGAGATGGTGTTGTTTCCTTTCCCGTAGTGAGTGTGTTCCAGGAAGGGCAGTTGGGAACAACTTTCTGTCTGCCTGCACAATGTTATCGAGTCCTGCGTTTTGTGCTCCCTGGGTCACACCTTTCTGCAAATATTGCATTAAGGGCTTTGTTCGAATAGATAGCAGAAGTGGAGGTGAGGGGGAAGAATCCCTATAATTTTCTCAAGGGTACCTTGGTCAGCCTGTTGCAGTAGAGGAGACCAGGTCTTGGACACCTTAAAGACTATAACCCATTAATTC